CGAGTTGTGATGTTAATACTGGTTTAACGGCGTTAGGTCAGATTGCTGTCGCCACACTGCTGATGTACATTGATTTACTTCATTTGTTTTATTCATGGCCATTCTATTTAATGTAATAATTTAAAGACAGAAAGCTTCTTCAGCAGAGCATGGTTAAAAGGAATTAATGTATTTAATTTCAGAAAATTATTACATTCAGAGAACCGTTTAATTTTATTATTCTAGAATATGTCTGATGCGTTCCAGAAACCAGAAAGAAGTGTCCTGTCTCTCAAGGTGAGAAAAAGAGGAAAACTATTTAAGGAGAATGAGGAAAGCGGTTATTAGTATACATATATAAATTTATAAAACTCCTGCCCTCTATATAATATGCGGGAAATAAGCGAGCCGCGCCCGGAGCGCACTTCAAACTGATATTTTAGAAACAAATTGTCACTTTCACACACATGTCGCACATGGATCAAAAGATCTATTCTTTATGCACAAGATGAACATAAATTACATGCCTCAAACAACCAATACAATCACTAAAAACTTATTTTTTCAAACTTACTCTGTTTTACTCTATTTTTTTTTAAAGCCCCGCCTTCTAATGCCATGTGACTAAAATCTCGCCGGCCTACGTCATAACGTTGGGAAATACCTTCGGTAACGCGGGATCTCGTCAAGTCATGTGACATTGCTCATGCCCTAATTTCCATTAAAAGCATGGGTTGGTATAGAAAACGTTGGAAAATACTGTTCGTAATGATCTTTGAAACATGTGTTATTGATACCACCTAGTGCATAAAGAATAGATCTTTTGATCCATGTGCGACATGTGTGTGAAAGTGATGATTTGTTTCTAAAATATCAGTTTGAACTGCGCCCCGCGCCGGGAGTTCTGACGTTAATCAAAAACAGACCGATATAAAAAAAGTCGATGAAACGTCAGAATAATTCGGACTAGGGTTATGGATAATTATGAGGAGACATTATGATGCATAATTACAACAAGCCATTATCGAGAGTATGGATAATTATGAGCTAGCATGGACATTTCTTTGAACCCATATGGAACTAATGTTTCTAAATGCATTGCAATCCATGGATTTTAGAACACTGATTTATTTAAAACTGAAACCAAAGAAATATCTCAAGATTTCATTTATAGTGTCTGATTCTTATGTATATAACACTATCTCTATAAAAAGGAAAAGATGACAATGAAATGTGTATGTCATCTCCAAAAATTAAGGGGGAAAATTAAAAGTAAGTTTCTGAAATTGAGAGAATAGAATTTTTTTAAATATGTAGTTCTATGTTTTTGGTAATTGTCTGACTTTCAAATGAAATGTGTATTTTACTGTAACAAGAGCTGTATACAAAAGGAAGTAATGTCAAACACAAGTTTTACTATCGGGCTGCTGCCGAGTTTTACTATCAGGTTGCTGCCGAGTTTTACCATCGGGTTGCTGCCAAGTTTTACTATCAGGCTGCTGCCGAGTTTTACTATCAGGTTGCTGCCGAGTTTTACTATCAGGTTGCTGCCGAGTTTTACTATCGGGTTGCTGCCGAGTTTTACTATCAGGTTGCTGCCGAGTTTTACTATCGGGTTGCTGCCAAGTTTTACTATCAGGCTGCTGCCAAGTTTTACTATCAGGCTGCTGCCGAGTTTTACTATCAGATTGCTGCCAAGTTTTACTATCAGGTTGCTGCCGAGTTTTACTATCAGATTGCTGCCAAGTTTTACTATCGGGTTGCTGCAGAGTTTTACTATCAGGCTGCTGCCACAGTAAACCATCAGATCACGCTAATACACACATGTTGCATTTCGTCACTGCAGCACATTAGGCAGACTTTTCCCCTCCCACTCAACACAAATGTCACGAGCAAAATCGATTTTAAAAATAGCTTTCTGCTACACTAATCCCTAGCATATCAGGTATAAAGCATACAGCTTGTCAATTGCTGGTCGTGTTTACTTTTAAATAAAAAATCACCAGAATTTTTTTTTCACAATGTTTCCTTCGTTTTTTTTATACTAAAATATCATCATATATACTGTAATAAAAAATCAACCAAAAACAAGAGGCCCAGAGGGCCTGTATTGTTCAACTGTTTCTTTTGTTACATGAAACTGACAAAGGTAACTTCAGACCAAATTTGGTAACTAGAACACAAAGCATTTTAACGGTTCTTAAGATATTGTTGTATGAAATTTGAAATCTTCATTTCAAAGATTTAACCCATGCTGACCTTTGACTCCTGCTAGCGCTTAAAGTTGACCTTTGAACTCATTACTGTACGAAGTAAAATTATTCACACAGCTGTTCTACTACCCAAGTATTATAGTATCATGACTCTAGACCAAATGGTTCTTAAGATATTGTTGTTTGAAGTTTTTAACATATTTGACCCCTGTGACCTTGAAACTAGGTCAAGGCCATTTTAGTGAAGACAGTTTATAGCATTCCATTCATGGTACTAACTAGTCAAATATCATGACCCTGGGTCTAGTGGAACTTGAGAAGATTGTAAAACCTTTTAACCTATGTTGACCTTTGACCCCAGACTAGCACTTAAAGTTGACCTTTGACCTCATTACTGTAATAAAGAAAGTATTTGCGCTGCTAGTCTTCATAACATACTCAAGTATCACGACTCTAGTCCAAATGGTTCTAGGGACATTGTTGTTTGAAGTTTTTACCATATTTGACCCATGTGACCTTGAAAATAGGTCAAGGTCATTTTAATGAGGACACTCTATAGCACTCCATCCCAGGTACCTACTGGCCAAATATCATGACCCTGGGCTTTATAGAACTTGAGAAGAAGATTGTTAAAGCTTTTAACCCATGTTGACATTTGACCCCTGACTAGCACTTAAAGTTGACCTTTGATCTCATTATTGTAACAAAGAAAAAGATTTGTACTGCTGGTCTACATAACATACCCAAGTACCATGACTCTAGTCCAAATGGTTCTTAGGATAATGTTTTTTTGTTTTTTTTAACATATTTGACCCCTGTGACCTTGAAAGTAGGTCAAAGTCATTTAAAAAACTTTATAACTAAAGTTTAATAATTAAGTTAAGCTTTCATAAATCAATGGTATCATTGCACTTAGTATGAACGTTGCCACCACCCCCTCCCTCGACCCCNNNCCCCCCACCACCCCTCCCCCAACTCTGTCTGCTTTTGTTTGGTGGTTTGAAGTTATTATTTGAAGTCTTTCAGTGTTAAATCTATATTGACATTTTCTATAATTAATTTGATTTATGTCTCTTTTATCCAGATTAAACAAATACATTTGCAATAACCAATACTTAAGTCTTTTTGAATCTCAAATGATCTTAAAATGTTGATTTCCCTATATGAGTCAATCAGTTCAGTGTGCTGCATGCAACTCATTTCAGACAAACCTGGCAGGCAACACAACACTTAAACACCATTCCCGAGACTAAAACATGTAAAACCATTCCCGAGACTAAAACATGTAAAACCATTCCCAAGACTAAAACACGTAAAATCATTCCAGAGACTAAAACATGTAAAACCATTCCAGAGACTAAAACATGTAAAACCATTCCCGAGACTAAAACACGTAAAATCATTCCAGTGACTAAACACGTAAAACCATTCCCGAGACTAAAACATGTAAAACCATTCCCAAGACTAAAACACGTAAAATCATTCCAGTGACTAAACACGTAAAACCATTCCTGAGACTAAAACATGTAAAACCATTCCCAAGACTTAAACACATAAAACCATTCCAGTGACTAAACACGTAAAACCATTCCTGAGACTAAAACATGTAAAACCATTCCCGAGACTAAAACACAAAAAACCATTCCGGAGACTAAAACCATTCCTTAAACTAAAACCATTCCTGAGACTAAAACAAGCAAAACCATTCCAGTGACTACAAATGTAAAACCATTCCAGAGACTAAAACATGTAAAACCATTCCTGAGACTAAAACATGTAAAACCATTCCTGAGACTAAAACACGTAAAACCATTCTCGAGACTAAAACACGGTACACCATTCCCGAGACTTAAACCATTCCCAAGACTAAAACATGTAAAACCATTCCCGAGACTAAAACATGTAAAACCATTCCCAAAGCCAAGTGCAAAGAGCAAACACTAACCATCAAAAGTGTTTTAGAATTGTATTAATAGTATTCAAAAAGGAAATTTGAAAAAAGAAATGCGTCCAGAATGCTGTAACAGTGTATTAACATATTATGTGAGATAGAAAACAAAAAAGTTCATTTCATTTTGATAGAAATAACAAAAACATGAAGTGACAAATAAAATTTGTGTTTGAACAGTCAAAAAAGATTGTAAAATAAAACCTGAAATTTGTTGTTCTTAAGATAATTGATAATCATTTTTACACAGGCTAAACATGTGACAAAATCCAACTAAATATTTTACACCTCATTAAGGCGAAGAACATTAATTGTATGTTTATAAAAAAATTAATTATAAAATCAAATAGTTACTGACTAGTACATTAACACATACATAGAATGGTGCATTTCTTTATTGTGATTTACATATTTCACACAATCATTTTAATAAATACATGTTGGGGTTTTCTTTCGCTTCAGTAATATCTAAACAAATTTAGCAGAAAAAGTTGAAATTGATCTCACACTATGTTAAATTTCCAGGAAGGAACTACATTTCACCCGAACTTAACATTGCATTATAAAAGTTACTGTTTTTTCAATTTTTTAATCTTAAAACGTGCTATATTGAAGGTTAAGAAAGGTTTACATGTAAGTACAGTCAGAAAGGTGAACAAAGGTTGAGATTATACAATGTTAAAGGTCAAACAGGACGTACATTTTATTTATAGTTACCTGGGTATAATTAAGTAATTGACAAACATGTAACATGTAAATATACCATTCAGTAAAGACATGTCACAACAACAGTCATACAAGTAAGGGAAATATTGACATGACATGAAGAAACTGACGCATAAACAAAGTCGTATACATACCTGGATCTCCAACGCGTGGTACGCTAAGATGAGGCAGACCAGGATTAGTGTGGAAAGACTGATGAGGGACTTCAGCACAAAGGAGCAGACATGATCCTGCAAAAACAAAAAACATCAGTATTTCTAAATGAGAGAGAAAACAGATAATGACTGAATTTTTAACAAGCTACTAACATGACACGACATCCATTTTATCACATAACCATGACAACATTTTTAAATCAGAATATAATACAATAGTTTGTATATGTGACAATGTGACTTCTGTCAGCCTGCTTCCCATAACATTGACTGTATAGATCTGTAGAAACCGCTCAAATAACAAGAGCGTTGCTTTATAAAAGAATATTGTTTCCTTGTAAATAACACCAATCACTTGGGATTTTTTTAAATTTGGATGACAGACAATTATTTTTAAAACAGTTTTTTTTTAATGAGGATTACAGTTTTGTTTATTGTCATACATAAGTATGAACAGCTATAGCTAGTGCTTACCTGTCTACAATGAAATGTTACCTCTGTAAGCTAAAACGGCTCATAACCATACGACAATTTCTCACATGAGGCGTTGAAATATTTGTGTATGTTGTATAGATAATGTATCAATGTGCTGCAGGCTGGTGATGTGTTGTTGTGCTGTTGGTATATAAATACACAAACTTGTTCATGCACATTGGCTTATGCACATGCTGGATATCCATATGCTGTGTATGTCGGGTCGAATAGCTCTGACATGCGCCTCGTAAATACATCATGTATGGCAGAGGTCACTGTGCATTGCACATGAAGACTGTGAAGAACGCACATGTACATATGTTAGCCCTGTTTCTGGGATCAATCAGTTTGTATACAGATGGTCTAAGTATTTACAGCACAGAGGGATGCCGATAGCAATAATATACTAAACGCCAGTTCTTCTTACACACATACACAGATATACATTTCTGTTGAAACAAACACCCAGTAAATATCATACTGGGAGAAAAATTTATATAACCAATAGAGTTAATAATGATGTTGTTCTAGTTCTAAGTGTAACATTTGAGTGCATGGTCCTTGTACACTACACATGTAGAACGATAAACTAGCTGTCATAACAAATAGTAAATTAAACTAGAAAAACTTGCTTCATAGCAGCCTATTTTAAGCCATTTATAATTGAGTAACTCGGGCAGGTGGTAAACTGATAATATTGATTATCTTGTAATTATCCTCAGTAAGTTCCTAATAACAACCGATCTCCTACTACCTAATTTTGCTTGTGCTCAGGGAAGAGGCCATCATGGAACAAATCATTAACACATTATTGGAATCTCCACAGTAACTACTAAATTAAAATTCATTTTTTGATTGAAAGATGTATTAAGTTAGTGAAGCCAAAATATTCCTTAGCTCCCAAAAACTTGAAACATTTCTCTTGACTCATTGTGGCATACACATTAGTGAATTTCCAGTCACACATCTTGAATATCCTTTGATCACAACTGTAAGATTATAATGAACTTCAACTGTCTTTATTTTATTGTAGTTTTTTTTATTTATAAGCCTTTTCACACATACCCCGAGTACATTATAACGACAAGAGATCCCAGAGCGATCTTGGCGCCCACCTTTGTACCATCTTCATTAGTTCTTTGTCAGTTCGATCTTTTCTCTTCTTTCCTCTAATCTGTTTGATCGAGTCATGTTAACAGTAAATGCACCTTGAGGTAACTTTTGATCTAAACTTAATACTGATGTGTATGAAAGCCAACCTTCAAAGTGAGTTTGTCATTTCACATATTTACTAGTACAGTACTTAATGTAAAAGAAATAGAATTGATCATTGCAATATGAGAAAGATCTGTTTAGTTCTTCTTTTAATCCATCTTGTTTTTATGATCAGTCTCAAAATATAACATGCACAACGAGAGATCAAGGGGAACCTACATATAAAATTTGAGAAAGATCCCTCTGGTACTTCCCGAGAAATAGTGATAACAAACTTTCACTATCAAAATCCAAGATGACTGCCTGTCGGCCATGTTGTTTATCCGATCAGTCTCAAAAGTTGCCCTGCTCAACTAAGGACCAAGGGTAACCTATATATAAAATTTGAGAAAGATCCCTCTGGTACTTCTTGAGAAATAGCGATAACAAGAATTGTTTAAGGACGGACGACAGACAGCGGACGGTGGACGACGGATCATGGACAGACCACGGACCATGGACGCAGGGTGATTTGAATAGCCCACCATCAGATGATGGTGGGCTAAAAAGCAGAAACATTTACCGATGGGCTTAAATAGTGAAATCTTATTGGATAAATGATAGAGGCAAATACAATATATCTGAATTCATTCTCAAATAAGTAACCAGACTTTTAGGATTTTATTTATTTGTTCGAGGTTTTACAGCTGATTGCTTTGACAATAGGGCTACTCAAGGGGCCATTTTAAAGTCTCTTTCAGTGCAAGAAGTACCAATTTTCAGATTTTATAGTCTTGTTCAGACTAAAGTGTTCACTATAGTGCCTAAAAACAGAATATCCTCGGTAAGAAATGATTCCCACTTTGTATCACCATTTTTTTGTCAAAGGTTACAAAGTTCAATGCATTGAAAGTGAAAGGTTTTGACTACAAAGTCTGGTCTGTAAGACAGCAAAGCCTTAAATCCTTGTTATCAGCACCAGACATGTTTAGCTTCAAATGTCCCTTTCAATGATTGATGACTTGTCACCACCAACTGGCCCCTAGGGTTGGGATAGAAATCCCAATTTTACATTTTAAAACCATCTTCTTCAAAGGATAATTCTCACCAAGTAAGAATAATATCCTACAGAAAATTGCCAAAATATACCCAAAAGTGTTATTTCCCTATATAAACTATAGTTAACTCTACCCCCTCCCCAAGGGGGAACGGATGGCTCAGGGGTCCTGGAATTGACAATTTCAATAAAGCTCTTGATGATCATTTTATCCATGCACTGAAATTGACTGTAGTACCTCTGAGTTTAGAGAAGAAGATTTTTGAAATATTGGTTAATTTTCCCTTTGGGGCCCCGCCCTGGCCCCTAGGGTTGGGGTAGGAATCCCAATTTTACAATTTAAAATCATCTTCCTCTAAGGACAACTCTCACCAAGTAAGAATAATTTCCTACAGAAAATTATCAAAATATACCCAAAAGTGTTGTTTCCCTATATAAACTTTAGTAAACTTTACCCCATCCCCAAGGGAGAACGGATATAGCTTGGGGGTCCTGAATTTTACAATTTAAATAAAGCCCCTGATGATCTTTCCATCCATGCAGAAAAACTGAATGTAGTACCTCTGAGTCTGGAGAAGAATTTTTTGAAATATTGGTTAATTATCCCTTTGGGGCCCCAGGGGTTGGGGTAGGAGTCCCAATTTTACAATTTTGTAGCCTCATCTACCAAGGATGATTCTGACCAAGTTCAAAAAAATTCCATCCACTGGTTCTTGAGAAGAATTTGAAAGCGTAAAAAGTTTATGCACGACGGACGACGACGGATTGAAAGTGATCGGAATAGGTCACTTGAGCAGGTATTAGGTCACCTGAGCTTTGCTCAAGTGACCTAAAAACACATCCCATTTAGAGTTGAGCAAAACAAGCCTTATGTATCTGTATTCTTGTTAAAGGCAAGTTCCTTCTGAATTTCTTCTTGACTGAATTTGAAGTGTATGGGGGTGTTTACAGTATTAACAATGTAATGACAGTATTTACAATGTAATGACACTATTAACAATGTAATGACGAGAGTATTTACAATCAACGACAGTATTAACAATGTAATGACAGTATTAACAATGTAATGACAGTATTTACAATGTAATGACAGTATTTACAATGTAATGACGAGAGTATTAACAATGTAATGACACTATTAACAATGTAATGACGAGAGTATTAACAATGTAATGACAGTATTAACAATGTAATGACAGTATTAACAATGTACTGACAGTATTTACAATGTAATGACACTATTAACAATGTAATGACGAGAGTATTTACAATCTAATGACAGTATTAACAATGTAATGACAGTATTAACAATGTAATGACAGTATTTACAATGTAATGACAGTATTAACAATGCAATGACAGTATTAACAATGTAATGATAGTATTTACAATGTAATGACAGTATTAACAATGTAATGACAGTATTAACAATGTAATGACAGTATTTACAATGTAATGACAGTATTAACAACGGGACTATCATCGTAATTTACATAACCTGTGACGGGACCTTCATCATAATTTACATAACCTGTGATGGGATCATCATCGTAATTTACATAACCTGTGACGGGATCATCATCGTAATTTATGTAACCTGTGACGGAATCATCATCGTAATTTACGTAACCTGTGACAGGACCATCATCGTAATTTACGTAACCTGTGACGGGATCATCATCGTAATTTACGTAACCTGTGACGGGACCATCATCGTAATTTACGTAACCTGTGACGGGATCATCATAGTAATTTACGTAACCTGTGACGGGACCATCATCATAATTTACAACCTGTGATGGGATCATCATCGTAATTTACGTAACCTGTGAGTGGATCATCATCGTAATTTACGTAACCTGTGACGGGACCATCATCATAATTTAGGTAACCTGTGATGGGATCATCATCACAATTTACGCAACCTGTGACGGGATCATTATCATATTTTACGTAACCTGTGACGGGACCATCATCATAATTTACGTAACCTGTGATTGGATCATCATCATAATTTACGTAACCTGTGATGGGATCATCATCGTAATTTACGTAACCTGTGACGGGAACATCATCGTAATTTACATAACCTGTGATGGGATCATCATCGTAATTTATGTAACCTGTGATGGGATCATCATCGTAAATTACGTAACCTGTATCGGGATCATCATCGTAATTTATGTAACCTGTGACGGGATCGTCATCGTAATTTACGTAACCTGTGGCGGGACCATCAATGTAATTTATGTAACCTGTGATGGGATTATCATCGTAATTTACGTAACCTGTGACGGGATCATCATCGTAATTTATGTAACCTGTGACAGGATCATCATCGTAATTTACG